CGAACCCGCCCGCTACCCCGCACATATTGCCAATTAGTTCCGCAACCCGACCCGACCCGTCGGCACAAGATCCGCAACCGGACCCGAACCCACATATATAGGCTATGAGCAGTGAAAACGTGCAATTATTAACACACGCAGTTGCATATTTGTCTCAAAAAGCGTGGGATGTTGGTTATTTTCTCCATCTAGGATGACACCAAAAGCCTCCCAGACGTTGGATTTCGCTCTTGAGGAAGTGTTATTGAAAATGCTGTATTCTCCGCTGGAGAGCTTCACCTTAGCCATTTCGAATGTGACACGCTCATAAGCAGATTGATGCGCTGCAGAGGTTATGATTATGCGTGGTCCCGCGGGGGAGAGGTTTGAGGATTTAAACATTAAACTAAATTATTATTATTTTAATATATTTATTATGCAACACCCGTGACCCGACCAGCATCATCTTTGTTTTACCCAGAACCGAACCCGGAAAAAAGCGTTTGAAAAAATACCACCTGCGAATCACTTTTTTTGCGGGTCACCCGTCGGGTACCGACCCGATGCAGGACTCTGATCCAGACAATCAACCGGATCCTGTGTATAATTATTGCTGCTGCACTTTTCTGTTTTCTACAGGTCAGTACATGATAAAAATGATCGATGTTAACTTGTGTAAATTAGATATAATGTTAGAGATGTTTAAGAGAGTGTGTCAGAAGGTTTTGAGCATGTTTGACATAGTAACGGTATTTTAAAAATACTAAACTGTCGGCAACTATAGATGCCATTTTCGCGGGCTTCAGCCGCACCGTGTGTAAAGGTGACCTGAGCGAAGGCTCGCAGGCAGGTTAGCTGCTGCGCACGGGTAATAAGTTTTGTTTACCTGAGTGAAGTCTTGCAGGCACATTGCCTTGTTTTTTGTTTATTAACACTGACAGTGTATTTATGTGAGCTCCATAATATGTTATATTTGGTAAAGATAGATATATTGATAGAAAGTATTATTTGATAGCGTTATGTGTTTATATTAGGGATGCACGATAATTATCGGCCCGATAATTATCGGTCCGATATTAGGAATTATGACGTCATCCCGATAAACCCAATAACAGTATTAATAGCCCCGATAATATACAATATATTTTTTGGGTAAAAAAAAAGAAAAAAATACTGCGGTGTGGGTGGATTGGGATGAGGGGCGCTTGTTTTTCACTCGGCTCCTCCCGTTTTGCCAGTACTGTGGTATTAGTGGTTTAGGAAGAGGGGAGTTCTTCACAAATCCAGCGCTCCCTAACTCATGCCTGGCTGTGACGTAAATGGTGTGCGGCCGTGAAGCCAGGACAGTAAACAAACATGTCGTCGGTGGTATGGGCGTTGGAGCTATGTGCAACTCAAGGCATATGCTCGAACCGGAGCTGCCTGGACGCTGCAATCATGTTGCGCACTATCCGTGCTGAGTGTGCTGACTTTTCGTACAATGTCCCACTGTCTGGCTTCCTGCATAAAGTCAAGTGCTCGGCGCAGTTGTGGCGAAATGTCGCTCCTCTGTTTTCATTTAAACAGCTCCTTATATCCGTTAGCGCAGCTAGCTAGCACCAGATGCTAACAACAACAATGCACGTAAGGTCTCTCTCTCGCTCGCTCGGGCCACACATACACACACCCCGGTCCTCCAGATGGCCAGTCGCACCTGCCGGTGAGCGTGGAAGTGTGGTCTACCACAAGCGGGCGGCAGGAGCGGGGCTGTCAGCATCAGCTTGTAGATGGTATTTTAAACTCGATGCGCTCTGAAACTACGGGGCGGCCGTGGAAAATAATACACATGCGTTAATCGCGTTAAAATAATTTGTGGCGTAAAAATGTTTTTATTATCGGTTATCGGTATCGGTCTTGAGAAGCAGGAAGTTATCGGTATCGGTATCGGTTTAAAAAAAACAATATCGTGCATCCCTAGTTTATATTGTTTATTGTTGAATTTCTCCTTGAGATACAGTAATGGACTGTGACAAATGGATAACTTAAATGGAGAAAAGTGATATGTTTGTAAAATACAGCTATTTGAATGTAACTATGTGTACTTTGAATTTTGAATGAGAAGCAATCCAGACAATCATTCTTGCTGTTGCACTTTTCTGTTTTCTACAGATATCATTTATTGTTGCTGTGGTACGCAAGCTTTTGGGACCCGTAACATATGCTAGCAGCAACACACGGAGTTAACTCAATTACACAAACATGGGTTAATGATTAGAGGTGACAGAGTTACTCTTTATTTAGTTAAAGTTTCAGCTATTCTCTTTACAGTTCTGTCATCAGATTATTTAATATGATTTTTTAAAACATTGTTGTTTCTTTTGATGTGAAATATTATTTATTTAAGATAAATAAAAAGCAATGTTAATTTTGTTCACAATTTGTTAAGTTAATTTAATAATATATGTATTTTTGAATCAAGTATTCATCTTTATTGTCTTCATTGTTAGTTTCCACATGCCTAAAACAACCTCAAGCTACATCTAAAAGTTGATGGCTAAATAAGAGCATTTGAGAAATTGTGCAAGGCATACAGTAATAGTCCGAATAGTCGATTAATCGTTTCATTAATCGATAGATTAATCGATTATCAAATTAGTCGTTTGTTGCAGCCCTATTATCCCATGTATAAATAAAACGTGTTATTCAGCAACCCTTGCAATTTGGGATTTTATTTTTGGTTGGTAGACCTCGGTGAGCTGGTCATTTCAAAAGTAGCTCACCAGCCAGAAAAAGTGTGGGCACCCCTGCTCTACGGCATACCATCCAACCTCCTCAATAAACTCCAACATATCCAGAACTCTGCTGCCCGCCTCCTCACCCGCTCCCGAGACCACATCACTCCCGTCCTCCAGAACCTCCACTGGCTCCCCGTCCGTCAAATAATCAACTTCAAAGTCCTCCTCATTACTCACAAAGCCCTCAACAATCAGCCCCCCCCCCCCCCCCCCCTACCTCACAGACCTGCTGCACCACCACACCCCTTCCCACTGCCTCCGCTCATCAGAAGCCAACCTCCTATCCATCCCCACCCACATCAATCACCGGACCTGGGGGGACAGAGCCTTCTCCGTTGCTGCCCCCTCCCTCTGGAACTCACTCCCACAACCCATCAGAGACTGCACTGACCTCACCACCTTCAAAACACTCACAAAAACTCACCTCTTCAATCTGGCTTTTAATGTGTGATTGTTTTTGTATTATTTGACTTTAACTTTAACTATATATTTATTTGATGTTCCTTTCTTTTATTTTCACTATCTCTGTAAAGCGTCTTTGAGTACCTGTAAAAGCGCTAACAAAATAAATCTATTATTATATTATTATTATAATCGTTAGCTAACCAGATGCTAATAACAACAAAGTTATTGACTGTATGATCAGTATGACAGATGAACAGATCGTCACTGGGCTTTCAACTAAAGACACAGCCACGCAAAAACTGCAGCATGCGTACGGCTCCTTATGGGTCCTGCAATTTTTGGAAGTGCCGGAGCGACGTTCTGGTGCTCTCCGGCAGAACTGCACCCCTGTCAGACGAGACATATACCACGTGATGACACGTTAGGCTCGTGTTGTGTTCAAGGACCCTGACCTTGGCCAGGAAAATAGGCACTCGCTTGTTTAATTTCTTTGCGGTCTAGATTTCTTAAATGTTTTCCTTTTTGCGTGTGTTTATAAATTACCTCGAGGGCCGTACCAAATGGTCTCACGGGCCGTATACGGCCCGGGGGCCGGAGGTTCCCCACCCCTGCTCTAGCCAATCAAACCGCGTCCTTGTGTGTCTGGGGCGGGAGATTCATGTGATTGGTTGTGGTCGAGTTTCAGACACGCCCACCTGCAAGCTTCAACGCACTCCGCCGTGTAGACGCTTCGTTAGGGTTACGCCTCCATTGGACTCCATTGTATACTTCCATCACATAGTGACATCATTATGTAACACTTGCGGTACTATTGGCTAGCGCTCCAACACATCGTACGTGATAGGCTGAAGGGGCGGGACATCTCTAAGTGGTTGACCAATCACGACAGAGGTGGCCAGCTAACCAATCAGAGCAGACTGGGCTCTGGTTTCAGACAGAGGGTGAAAAGAGGTGCTGCAGCACAGGCAGTATGAGAAAAATAAAGAGCTTTTTGAACATTAAAGCACGGAGACATGTCCCAGTAGACACACAAAATACTGATATGAACCTGAGAATGAGCAGAATATGTGTCTCGTTTTGTTTGTGTTGTGTTGTTTGAGTTTTTCCTTGCAGCTGTCTCTCATGGTGGGACTTGTTGGTTATACATATGGATATATATTTAATTGCTGTATATGTTGCTGGATAATTTTATATTTAATTATACACTTTCAGTAGTTGGTTGTTGATGAATATTAGTGATAGTTTTATTTTAAATATAAATCTGCAAAATGTAACTTGGAACTTGTAGTGAAGGAGAAGTATTGTGTAGCAGAAATTGGAAATACTAAAGTAGAAGTATCTCAATGTTGTACTAAAGTACAGTACTTGTAATGTAGAGTTATGGTTAGTTTCCATCACTGGAAACAGCTTACCTAACATAGCTAATTTACATCCGTCACTTCCAGCTTGCAGAAATGCAGCCTTACAACCGCATTTCATCTGCACAAGCAGAACAAACTCAAATAAAGTAGAGGAACTGCTCTGCAGTGTGGCTCACTGTTAGATTGTAGCTTTACAGAAACATGTGATCTGTGAATAGAATAGAATTGGCAACAGTGACTTGTATAACACCCTACATGACAAACTTTTCATGGTTTCCACTTGTTTCTACATCCCTGATTATGACAACGCAACTTGTTTTGCATAATATCCTGAACAAACATCAGACGTGGTGTTACTTCTATCTCCAAGAACACTCATCAATATTCACCAAGGGGAATTCACCCAACAGGAAGTGTGTGTTGATCCAGTTTAGGTACCATAAATCGGAGCTGAATCACATACAGTGGGAGCTACAGAGGCAACATTCAAGGACGGGAGTTTATTTCAGCATGAGAAGTAGTGTGTTCAGACAAAAATGTGTATAAGTGTACATTTTTTCATTTTGAAAACAAAATTGACCAAGTGCAGACGGCAACACTAAATCACTATTAAAGTCAATGCAATAGTACGTACAGTCAATCACATTTTAATAATCAACGAGATACCACTGACAGGGGGAAAGCTATTAGAGAGACATGATAGAAAAATAAAAGTTTATATAAAGCAGCAGTAAAGCTACAAAGGCTTCAAGTGCACAACAGAAAAAGAGCAAAAGGGAAAATAACAATCTCATATGCAGGGTAAATACTGGCTGATTCTGCCTATTGATTGGGACATCTCCATTAAAAAAATACGTTCAATATTCACACAAAATGGATATTTATTGACTTTAGAGTGATGATTCACAAAAGTAGGCTAGGTGTTATGAAGTGACTCTGTCAATTATTACTTTTATCCACCCGGCTTACCACAAGTTTTCACAGCTGTGAACGGAAAGTTAATACTTGCAAAATATGTGCATTCTGTAAATGTAAAAGAGGAAGAGGAACATGTTTTTTTTCTCTTTCTCTTCTTTGTTGGTAACTTAAGACGCCGTAAAGGGCGGGGAGGCTCTGAGGCAAAAATAGCCAGGCAGTTACAGTAAAGTGAAATAATTATAAACACGTTACATGAAGTTATCATAGTGTGGGATAGGAGTTTTCCAAATGGCTTATATGAGTAAACAGCTATTTTCTACAATATTTAACAATTTATTAGAAATGTGATGATTAAAGGTCAAGTGTAAGTTAAAGGCATTTTTAGTGTTTTACAAAGGGGTGGGGGGGCAATGACAGTGCTGTTCTCTACAGAGCGATGAGCAGTGATACTGCATTTGAAATAGCTGTGGTGATCAAATGTGAACCAATCAACAGCTTCAAAAGAAGAGACTGCACATAAGTCACACTATGATATATTTGTCACATTTCTATAGGAAAACTGTCACCTACTGCACTCTTCTTCAGTTGGTCATATGCTGTGAAAATGGGCTGTAAGTGTTGCACAATGTGTGACTTTTTAAGCCACTTCTCTTACGAACAACTATAAATGGCCAAACAGAATGCTGATGGGCATATTTATGCCATTAGGATTGGATTTGGATTTCGTGACACCATGGAATTTGTTTGTTTACCTATCCAAAAAATGAATACAGTAAACTGTTACATGACATACAACACTGGTAATATTGTAATGTTCTAAGTAGCAACAGTAGGACTTGGAGGACATATTGCAAACACTATATGAACTAAGATGTCGTATGTTCCAGCTCATAAGATGATTTTTAAATATATTGATCCTAAACTGACTAACCTTTATGTAAAAGCAATAAGTGATGTCATTACAGCCCCAAGTGGCCATTTCAATCATCTGACGCAGGTCTGAGTGAGATCACGAGACCATGGGACATGGTTCTCTTCAGCGAGGGCTCCTTTCCTCAGTTCTCACGGTGATCTTGATCTTCTTCTCCTTCTGGGTGTCTTTAAGGGGAAAAAAGGAAAATTGTTCCAAACAGTTCCTTTTGGTTAGGGAGAAAAATTGTCCAGCAAATCATTTTTAAATGTATATATGAAGCAGAAAGCAGAAAAAATACTGACAATAGTTGACACTATAGCTTTCTTTACAAGAGTTGTATTAAGAATATCTATCCTGCTCTCTGTATGCTTAATAATAGTGGTGTTTCTGTCTTACGGTATGGTAGAGATAAATCATCATTATGACAGTTGTATAATTACAGAGTTGGCTGTGTGGATTAAGATGCAAAGACAATTACACTTTATCCATTACATTCTGGTTTAATTTGTATTGAGTGATAGATTTTAGCTGGTTTGAGACAACATGCAGGGTTTTCAAGATCGTCCGCCATGGTGGTTTTGTTTAGGGGTCGATATGGGTTTGATTTTGTTTGTTTGTCTGTCTATTTGTGCACGATTAGGGAAAACTGTTAGCCCGGTTCTCACAAAACTTGGTAGAAGCAAGAATAATGGGATGGGAGGATGTACATAATAAAGAGAAGGAGACCAAGTACAGAGCTCTGGGGGACACCGTGGGGGACAGAGGCTGTGGGGAATTAGCAGCTGCTGATAGAGAAATGTTGATGTCGGTCAGAGAGGTAAGATTTAAAACAGGAGAGGGCGGTAGTGTAGAACTGGAGGTGGCTGATGAGGATGGAGTGGTTAATGGTGCTGAAGGTGCAATAAGGTCAAGGAGCATTATGCTTATTGAGGCATTTAGAAATGCAAATTGATTTGAAGACCACAGGCAGAGAAAAAAAAATAATGTAGGAAAACAAGAAACGTCGAGAACTGAAATGATAAACTTGTGCCTACTGTCTGTCTCAGAGTCCCTGTCGGTCTCTGTCCCCGCAGACGCCCTTCTCCTCTTGCAGCCCTGGCTGCTCTCTCGTTCCGACACACTCCCTCTCATCATCCCGCTCATCTGAGCTGCTCCCTCGCTGTGTTGCTGCTGACGATGACTGACAAAGAAGAGGAATCAGAAAGAAATATTTTTCTCAAGTGAAATCAAACTAGGAAAGCTAATATTTTCTGTCACAAGGGGGTAAGGAAGGCAGGACCCAAATGAAGTATACAGTACAACAAAAGCTTTACAAAAGGCAAGCTTTATTAAATTAAAGCTCGTTCGACAAAACCCCAAGAAACTAAAGGAGCAGGTGAGGTAAAATGAAAGGAGAGAAATAAAACAAAACCAGGAATGACACCAGGAAAAGGGAACAGGAAAGAACACCAGGAACAAACCGGTAGCATGAAACACGACACGGACTGACAATAACACTATGACTGACGGGCATTTATAGAGACAGGACTGCTTTTTGCCGATCTCTCAGGCAAAAAGCACTTTCTTTCAAGGTAAGATCCATTCTTCCTATTCCAATCCCAAAAAAATATTTTCTATCTTCTCATCCCTCCTTCCCCAGAGCCCCTTCCCTCTCCTCCCTTCTTCCAGGCGACTTTGTTAACTACTTTGAAAAAAAGGTTGATGATATTTGCTCTTCATTTTCCGACTCACCGCTGGGTCACCAGACCCACCTTTCACCCACACACTGACCTCCTTTTCCCCTCTCTCTCCAAGTGAGGTTCTTACCCTCATTACCTCTGCCCGTCCTACCACCTGTCCTCTGGACCCTATCCCTTCAAACCTCCTTCAGACTATCGCTCCTGATATTCTACCGTTTCTCACCCATTTCATCAACACTTCTCTAACTTCTGGTCACTTTCCACACACTCTCAAGGAGGCAAGAGTAAACCCTCTCCTAAAGAAACCCACTCTCAACCTGTCCGATGTTATAAACTACAGGCCTGTATCTCTCCTCCCGTTCATGTCTAAAACACTTGAACGCGCTGTCTTTAAACAACTCTCCTGTTATCTCCATCAGAACAACCTTCTGGATCCGCACCAGTCTGGTTTCAAGGCAGGTCACTCCACAGAAACTGCTCTCATTGCTGTCTCTGAGGAACTGCACACTGCTAAAGCAGCCTCCCTCTCCTCTGTCATCATCCTTTTGGACCTGTCTGCTGCATTCGACACGATGAACCATCAGATCCTCCTTCGCACTCTCCAAGAACTTGGAGTTTCAGGCTCTGCACTTTCCCTCCTCACCTTATACCTCAAAAACCGCACCTACAGGGTAACTGTCCGACACTTGTCAATTATCTACAGGGGTCCCTCAGGGCTCTGTTCTTGGTCCCCTCCTCTTCTCTCTGTACATAAACTCGCTCGGATCTGTCATTAGCCCACATGGTTTTTCATACCATTGCTACGCTGACGACACCCAATTAATTTAATCTTTTCCCCGCTCTGAAACCCAGGTTGTCGCACGCATCTCTGCTTGTCTAGCTGACATCTCTCAGTGGATGTCTGCTCACCACCTCAAGCTCAACCTTGACAAGACTGAACTGCTTTTCTTCCGGGAAAAGATTGTCCCACTCTTGACCTAACAATCAACATGGGCACCTCTGTTGTTTCCCAGACTCAGACTGCAAATAATCTGGGTGTGACCCTAGATAACAACCTGTCCTTCATTGCAAACATCGCTGCCACAACCCGCTGCTGTAGATACACTATTTACAACATCAAGAGGATACGTCCCCTCCTGACCCAGAAAGCGACGCAACTTCTGGTCCAGGCTCTCGTCATCTCACGCTTATGGCGCATTTCCACTGCAGGGCCTTGCACGGCTTAGTACGGTATAGTTAGGCCTTGGTAGCACAGGCTCACCTTATGCTGCGTTTCCATTACCATTAGTAACGCAGTGTAGGCGGAGCCGGGACGTCATCTTCAATGCGAAACACAAAACCGGCCGTTAGCTGTTAGCCCTCAGAGCTCACAGCACCTCATATCTGTTCAGAAACTAGACAAAAGTTAAACAAGTACAAACCACAGACTGTCTGTGTCATGGCGAATACAGTCGCTGGTTTATTTATGTCTGTAGGCCGTTGTTGTGAGTTTGGACGGTCGGAGCATATACTGCGTTAACTTAGCCGATCTCCATTCAGAAAAGACGCATTTTAAAAAGGTTTTTCGCCTGCCGTCTGTCTGCAGACTTGTCAAAGCATTAATTAATGGTTTTTACTAACCGGTATCAGTATGTTGTTACTTCGGCATCATTTGGAAACGTGTTTAGCATACTCAGCCTGGTTGTTGGCCCGGAAAGAACCTTGATTTTGGAGAGCCAGAAAACTGTGAAAAGGTACCCGCTAGCCGGAACTACGCCTAAGGGAAACGCAACCAAAAACGGTCCGGGCACCGCACGCTTAAACCGCGCTGTAGTGGAAATGCGCCATTTGACTACTGCAACTCCCTCCTGGCTGGTCTACATGCATGTGCCATCCGACCTCTGCAGCTCATCCAGAATGCAGCGGCTCGTCTGGTCTTCAACCTTCCTACATTTTCCCACACCACACCGCTGCTCCGCTCCCTTCACTGCATGCTTCCAGTAACTGCTAGAATCCACTTCAAGACACTGGTACTTGCGTACCATCAGGGCCGCCCCTGGCCAACTTGGGGGCGGCCCCCCCCCGAACCGACAGGAGTGAAAACAATTGTTTTTAAAACAAAGTGTTACGGTACGTGGAAAAGGTAAGACCCAAATTCAGACTACAAAAACGGAAAAAGGTATTGAAACAAAAAGCGAGCTTTATTTAAAAGCTGATAAACAAAACATGGCATAACTTGAAACGGTAGCACAGAAAACAACAACACAAAAACTGACCGTGAGAAACATGGAGGAAGACCCTAGAGACAAACATGAAGGGAAGACAAACAAACAATGAACCGATAGGGGAACACAGGAAGAGACAAGACTAAATACAGAGAGGGGTAATCACGAGACGAGAAACAGCCGGGCAGGGGAGGCAGAAACACAAGGGCAACAGGTGAACACAATTAGACAATCAGACACACCAGGGAAACTACAGACAGGAAGGAAAACACAGGGAGAAGGACCAGACAAGAAACAAGGAGGAAAACATGAGACAGGGGGCCTATACTACGAAGCTGGTTCAACCTAACCTGGATATGTTTGAGTTAGCCGGTTGGCCTAATCCAAAACATACGCGTTCTCGCTAAACTGTACTACGACGCTGGTTATCAAGTGGATCGCTCAAGCCAGCCGTTTCCAATCTAGTTAGGTGCGCGTTCACATGAAAGGGGTGGTATCTGGAGCATTCGACCAATCACAAACATGGAGAAGCGCACTGACAGCGCAGCGCGTCATACTTCCTGAATGAAAAGTGAACTTTAATACTAGTCAAAAATGAAGAAGTTAAACTTTAAACATCCATGACTGAAACACTTTATCCAGGATCAAAGCCACATAGCTGCACCTGCAAGGTGAATACAGCTGGCAAAAGAAAAAGTGTTTGAATGCGTACATTAACAGGTTTATGATATCACTGCCCGTCTAAAACACGATCTGACTTTAATTACATTTGTCTCGAGTGTTTCGTCAACTTAATGTGTTGGAGTCATTCTATAATTTAGGGTACATTTCACATCAACAAAACTGTAAAAAAAAAAGTGTTCTTTCTCAATAGAACAATCAGTGGTTCAAGTTAGTATATTCCTCAGTGTAACATATCCACTAGTTGCAAAGCTTAAACTTTTTTTTTTTTTTTTTTATTTGAAGGGAAAGGATGTTTTCACTACTCCGTTTGTCAACTATGTTACGGACAAACTTGATGCCATTACAATAATTTGATTAAGTCCTGCACTTCAAGTAAAATCCAATTTGAAAGGCTCTTGAGTCTATTCTACCATATATCCAAAGATTTTTAAAAGATTCAAAAATAATTGTATTAAAGTTTTGTTTTTACTTGTAATATGTTCAGCACTGTCATTAAGGATAGGGATCTTTTCTATTATACAACTACCATACAGGTCATTTTGATAGTTTTAAGAGATGTCACGTAAAACTCCAACCTGTGTAGATGTACATTATGCTATAATGGATATCAGAAGCACTATTTTATATATTTTAAATTGAAAAAATTAGGTGCAACATAGTTGACAATGAAAGTCACACATTTGACGCAAATAACATAGTTGACTGGACACATTATTAACCATCAGCACTATGTTTATTTCAAGGAAGAAAGTGCAAAATTCAATTGAAACTTTCAATTAATTCAATTATGAAACACCAAATGCATACAAAATACATTACATTTGAAATGTACTAACAAGCAAAACTAAAATCACACAGTGCAAATTAAACATTCCCTCTGATCAGTAACCGGTGAAGGGTTGGAACAAGTTCTTCTAATTCAGACATTCAGAATTCATTTCTAATTCAATTCCTACAGAATAGTCTAAATAGTTTACATTTACATTGAGAAATTTGACGGTTTTATCGAAAGTGACTTGTATGTCAGACAAGATCAAACCCACAGTAGAGGAACAAATAAAGAACAGTTTTTAAAGTAATGGTTTTGTAATGGGTTCAAACCAGCACAGGGGTCCAAGTGAAGCCTTACCGAAAAACGAAATATTAAAGAATAGTACAGTAACATTAATATTCAAAAGAACAGTACTATTCAATTGCAACATTCAGTTTTTTCACCTTTTAGAAACTAGACCAGATGTCTTTGTCAATCTCCACGTGGCGTGAGGTCACTGAATTTGGAGGAGGAATCACTCTCAAAATGTCCTCAAAAGGGTACAAAAGCACATCCTCTTTCAGTGGCCAGAAGAACCGGTTGACTCCGGGAACGTGCATGCACTTTACCTGCACATGTGTGTCCATGACCTCCTGAATGACTCCTGGGTAAATGTCTTCATCATATTTAAGGGCACACCACTGGCCAATTGAATCAGGGACCCCACAGCCTTTCATTCTCTTTGCTGTTGCCTTTAGGTGCTTGAGGCAGCGAAGGGGTCGTTTGCTGAACCTCAAAAACTAAAAGTATGAGTGTCAATCACAGCGACACTCATAACTTTGTCTGGCGGTGCAAGGGCAAC